GTCTTTGTCCACACTTCCCGCAAGGGGACCAAGTGCCCCCCATGTGGCTGCCCAAGCAGAGGAGGGAGAGAAGGAAACAGAGGCAGCACCAGTGAGATGGTTTGGGGGGGAGGGGAAACCAGCCCCAAAGGAGTCCTGTCTTCAAAGCTCCTGTGGGCACCTACTTTGTAGCTCGGGGAACTCTACGCAGTGCTCTGTGGTGACCTTTGCGGGAAGGAAATCCATCCAAAACAGAGGGGATATGTGTATTCGTGCAGCTGATTCACTTTGCTGGACAGTAGAAGCTAATACAACATTGTAAAGCAACTATACTCCAATAAAAATTAATTTTAAAAAAGCCCCTTGGGGAAAGTGAGGAGCCCAACTCCATCCACTGTTTGGATGACTGTGACCCACAGCTCCATTCCAGGTCAGCTGGATGATTCCAGATCCTGTTGCCTGTGGCCTTTCTACTCTCAGCAGGAAGATTTTCAAGAGAGTTGGCCTCCTCTTTGGGCCTCAGCACTTGGTCACGTTCAGAGTTGGCACCTTCTACGGGAGACAGGAGTCTCTGAATCTAGCCCTCCCCTACCACCACAGCACGGAAGGACTTGGGGCTGGATTCTTGCGGCTCTGCTGCTCACCAGCTCAGTGACCTGGGCCCCTAGTCACTTTATCCCTCTGAACCTGTTTTCTCAACTGTAAAACAGGGCAGTGAGTGGTCCATCCCTGAAGCAGTTCTTGTGTGGATTAAATGAGATGAGATGAAGCAGATTAAGCGCCTGGTCTTAGTAAATGCTCCCTTAACGTTTGTCATTCTTTTGAGACTTGTTCTTGTTGAAAACCAGAAAGTCCAAAAGCGTACACACCTCTGTTTTCTCCTGCTGCAGCCTATATTGCCCTGTGGGAATTTGGGCCCGGGTTAGCCAGAGCCTCACAGAAATCTAGCCTGGGATTGGTGCAGAGCCTGGGCTGCAGGACCCAAAGGTTTGTGCGTATCTCCTAGCTCCACCTGCTTCCTCTGCTTACTGGGTAAGGTCAGAATGCAGCTTAGCAGGAAGGAAGGAAGCTCTTTCTGCAAGGTGGGTACCCAGGGCAGACAGGAAGAGATCTGGTTGGGGAGACAGGGACTCAAGTTCGGCCTGTACTTACTATGGGTCTTGAAGTACCTTGGCACCTCAGTTTCCTCACCTGTCATTCATTGAATAAATACTTATCAAAGGTCTATTGATTCTGTGTCATTGTCCCACTCAGACCCAAAAGCAAGCCCAAGATGGCCTCCGGGCCTTTGCACATGCTGTTGAAAACTATCCTCCTAGTTCCATGTCTTTCATAACTTTTCCCTTGCTGAGTCCTTAGCACCCCTCAGTCTTGGTTGAGAGAGCACTTCCTCCTACAAGCCCTCCTCGGTCAGGTGCCTCCTTTTTTAAAAATTCTGACCACACTCCAAGGCATACGGGACCTGACCTGACCAGGGACTGAACCTATGCCCCTGCATTGGAAGGTGGTGTCTTAACCATTGGACCACCAAGGAAGTGGTGTCTCCTACTTAGCTGGTTTAACTGATTTCACTGCATTGATTACCCAGCCTGTGGTGGCAATGATGATGAGGAGGATGACGATGGCCTAATTTCCTCACCAAGAGCTTTGTGAGAGCTGGCACAAAGCTGCCCAAAATACAGATGTTGGATAAATGGCCTTCATAGGACAAGAAACTCATTGGCTGCTTCTGTCGCATATTAGCGTGGAACCAGAAGCTTCTCTAAGCCATAGTTTTCACCTCTAGGAAATGAGGCTCATAATAACCTGTTCTTCCCACCTCTACCCATTTCACAGAGCTGCCAAAGCCCTGATGGGTGCTTTGCAGGCCTTGACCTCACAGCTGTGTGAGGCACCATTGTGCACTGAACAGTGTCCCCCAAACTAATGTCCATCTGGAACCCTACAATGTCACTTTGCTTGGAAATGGGGGTCGTTGCAGGTGTAATTAAGGATCAAGATGAGATCACATTGAATTAGGGACCCTAACACATAACAGGTGTCTTTATAAGTGACAGAAAAGGACACACAGAGACAGGGAAGAAGGAGTGAAGATGGAGGCAGAGACTGAAGTGATGGAGCTACAAGCCAAGGAATGCTAGGAGCTCCCTGAAGATAGAAGAGGCAAGGAAGGATCCTCCTTACTAGGCCTCTGAAGTGTGGCCCTGCTGATACCTCGATTTTGTACTTATGACCTCTTGAACTGTAAGAGAATAAATTTCTGTAGTTTTAAGGCACCTGTGCACTCAATAAATATTTGTTGAGTAAGTTTTGAATGGTTAAGTCAATGTCTTTACTGTTTGTACCAGTTGAAATCTTCTGTAGCTTATAGCCAAGGAATCCTGACACGGTCACTTCTCTCTCCATCCTGAGAACCTCCAGAGAGCAGGAAAAGGACTGGGCATTACTGAACACAGCATTCCACAGGCCTGGGACAAAGCCCACACCAAGTAGGAATAAGCAGCTGTTTCTCACAGGGGCCTCAGACACTGTCCAGGAATCAGCTTCAGGCCTACTAGAGCTGGATGCTTGGGTCCGCCAACTCCCCTCTCCTACTCCCAGGGTGAGACACCCCTGAAGTGGCTGATTAGAAAAGTATAATGGCCACTGTGCATTTCCCACACCAAATGATGCCTGCAGAACACCAACTGTAGGCTGAGACAGGGGAATCTGACAGCAAACACTGCCATTAGATTCTTCTTAAGGTGGAAAGGACTTCTGAGAACACCGCAGGCAACATCCACTCGAGCCATAAATCTTCAAGCCGCCGTGGTGAAGTCCCGATTCTAAGTGTGGCAGCATGGGTGGAGGAGCAGTGAAGGGTGAGGAGCAGGGCAGGAATAGCTTCGCAGACAACATCTGCAATGATCTGGTCCGGCCTGGCTGTTTCACAGGCGGGAAAATGACATTCAGGGCAGGTGGGCAGATTGCCAGAGGGCACCCAGTGAGCAATGGCATGTTTAATTGTGAACTCAGGTTGGGGTTTTTTATGACTTTTTTAAAAATTAATTTTTAAATTGAAGTATAGTTGATTTACAGCGTTGTGTAAATTTCTGCTGTGCAGTAAAGTGATTCATTCACACACATATATACATTTTTTTATATTCTTTTCCTTTCTAGTTTACCCCAGGACACTGTGCTATTCAGCATATCCTATACATATATATACTGCATGTGCTATACAGTATCTGCTATGCAGATATCCTTGTGCTACACATAGGACCTTGTTTATCAGGTTGGTTTTAATCTCAAAAGGTGTAGAGATGGGCACTGGAAGGGGATCCTCTTGATTCTGCCAATTTGCATGCAGAATAAAGGATTAATGTGCATAGATCAACTTTTTTGAAGGAGAGGGTCCACAGTGTTTATCAGATTCTTTTTTTTTTTGACTGATTTTTGGCTGGGCTGGGTCTTCATTGCTGCATGGGCTTTTCTCTAGTTGGGGCGAGCGGGGGGCTACTCTCTAGTTGTGGTGCGCAGACTTCTCACTGCAGTGGCTTCCCTCCTTGCAGAGCACGGGCTCTAGAGCACAGACTCAGTAGTTGTGGTGCACCAGCTTAGCTGCTCCGCAGCACGTGGGATTTTCCCGGACCAAGGATCGAACCCGTGTTTCCCGCATCGGCAGGTGGATTCTTTACCACTGAGCCGTCAGGGAAGCCCTTCATCAGATTCTTAAGACAGTGTAAGGCTAAAGAAAACCAGAAACGGTGGAAGAGGCCGGGTCAAAATCACAGGGCAAGTCACAGCAGACCTGAGACTGGCATTTGCCTCAATTTTCGGTCACTGCCCTATGCCTTCCACCCCACAGGAAAGGCTATTTTCTGCAATACACAGATGGGCCTGGTCCGTGGGCACACCAATGCTTCCAATAGGTGAAGGGTCTGTGGTCCTGCGGGCACTGCCCATGGACGCTGACAGAGAACTAGAGAAGATCCTGGAGCCCCACAAGCACCAACTCACTCCTGAAATGTGCCCAGGAGGTCCCCAGACAAGGGGAGGGCTTCTGGAACCTAAACATGTCTCCAGTAAGACACACTCTGCTCTTGGTTCAAATTGTTGATACACATCATGCTTGGGTCTTCAATGTTTCCAGACTCCCCTGGACAGCACACTGGCCTGGAAAGGGTCACCTCCCAAAACCAATGATTGATTGATTAAACACAAAGGCAAAGTATGAAAATTAATCGAGATATTTAATAGACAGTGCAAACCATAATTTCATCTGAATATAAATGTATGCACATGTTTCCAATGGGTTATCTATCAGTTATCACAAATAGCAACAAGGACCTTAGAGCTATGTTAGAAAAATGTATAGCTGGAATTTAACTCAAACAATCTCACACACTCTCAAGAGAACACCATCCATTTCAAATCAGTGTCACAAACTCCAGAAAGACTAGGGGAGTGGGAGTGAGGAGTGGGCCAGAGTGGGAAACACAGGGGCCAGTACACAGGTGATGGACAGAAATACAGCTCTTGAGGAAAACAAAATAGATGCATTATTACAGCTAAGGACAAGGAAAAGCCTATGGCTTTCAAAAAACGACTCTTCTGCCAGTACCATACACGTCTTACAAAGAGATGTGCGACAAGTCAGCTGACTTAAAAGGACAGAGGCTACATTTTCAGGTCATTTTGACTGCAAACGGTCGACCCTTGCCATTGAGGTTCAGCAGTGGAGTTAGCGTAGTCCAGAAGCTCAATGTTGGATTTGCAAATACAGTTTATTTTACAGAAATTGACATTATAAACAGCAGGCACCTCCCATCCCACCCCCACCCCCTCCCCCCCACCACCTGTCCCGCTGGGTGCAGACCATGCTATGCGGAGTGAGCAGTGATGCGGCCCTACTGCTTGGGAGGGAGATTCGAGAGCGATGGAACCTGCCTGCACCACGTCCGGCCTGCCCCGCACACACACGCGCCTGCCCGCCGCGCAGGCCACCAGAGTCTGTCTGGGCCCAGCCCGCACTGGACCGGTTAAATGGTTCCAGCCCAGGTCTCCAATTCCTTCATGTCGTCGTCTTCCTCTTCCTTCTTCTTGGCTGTGTGAAGACAGAAAAGGCTGCTTAGGAAGGCTGGCCACTGTGTTCTCCGCGCGTTCTGGCCGGATGCCAGGGCTGCGCTACCCCATGGCTACAGCCCTGCCTGTGCAGCCCGCCACGTCTCCAGGCTATCAGCAGACTGCCTCTCTGTGCCTAAAAGCTGCAACGCAGAACTCCAGATAACCAGGCACAGCTTCCCCAGCACCTCCCCTCCCTGACACCAGAGCCAGACAAAACGGGGAGGATTCAACACCAAGAGTCTAATAGGATCGACATGCGGCCTCCAGCCAGAGCATCCAATGTGGGGGAGAGAGGGAAGAACCCAGAAGAGCTCTAATCTAAGCCACTCCCCTCCACCTCAAGGGCCTAAGCCACCTCTGTACACCACAGGCAGTTGGCTGGACAGCTTTCAGATCCCATTCAGCTTTCAGGCCTGCACCCCACCCCGGGCAGCCAACTCGACCAGAGGGCCACTTCCCCTTGACCTGTGGGAGGATGAGAGGACACAGCCTGGTCACACCCTGCTCTCTGGGTTCTCTCTCTGTGCCAAATCAAGCTACTTCACCTCTTCTAGAAGTTCTGGGTGGAATACTTCTATCCAAAGGTGAAATAACGAGGGAGGAAGGACTCAAGGAAAGAAATGAAGGTTTTATAGAACTAGGTCTCTAAAAAACCCAGAGCTGTTTCTTTCCTGTGGGGCTACCTATGAGCCCCAGTTGAGCGTTACACAGATAGCAGACGGGGGGAGCAAGAGCTGTCCTGGATGTAAACTCCCACCTTGTTTGGTGACACAGGGAAAGCGGTTCTAGAACAGTGGTCCTCAACTGGAGGAGATTTCTCCCCTCCCCCCGGCCCCCGGACATCTTGCAAAATCCGGTGACACGGTTGGTTGTCCAAACCTGGGGAGGGGGATGCCACTGGCATCTAGAGGGCAGAGGCCACGGGTGCGGCTCACTATCCACAGGGCACAGCACAGGCCCCCGCCCAGTCTGCACTAAAAGAACGGTTCGGCCATGTCAACAGTGCCAAGGTTAGGAGACGAGGGAAGAGTGGCTGACACTGTCATCAGGGCTGTCACAACGGATGCTGCCTGGTTCTCAACTCTGGGCAACTCAGGGTCCAAACCGAAGCCAACCGGCCACAAGGTCACCTACCCCATGGGCCGTGGGTGTGTCATGACTGTGGATGAGAAGTACTCACCGGGTTTTGATGGTAGGGATATAGAGGGAACACTTGGTAGAGGGACTGTTTCCGGTCCACTGATTTCCAGCAAATTCTTGTCTAGTTCCTCCTGTTCTAGTTCTTCTAATTCTGCCATGAGCTCATCCTGGGAAAAGCAACACAAAAATGAGAGAGAGACCCTGGGGAACCCCAGCCCCTCTTGTGGTGCCTCTTACCCAACAGCTCAGGGGACACACATCCCTTCTGAGAAGGTCAGGGCAGATGGACTCCAAGTGCACACTCTGTGACTCATCCTAAACACACTTCTACTGGTGAACGGAGCACACTATCGAGCAATTGCTGATGTCTATGTGGGGTCCCTGCACCAGGCTGGGAGCATCTTGAGAAAAGGGATCGTATGTTTTCATTTCTATCTCCATCTCAGAATTGGGTGCACTGAGTGAATGTTCAGAATGTCTGCTGAATTGAAACGAACTTGACTAACCCATCGAACTCCAGTCTGAAGACATGAAAACTCTGGCGCTAGGAGCCAAAGGTAAGAGCTACAGGCTGCTTTCTCAGCTATACGGCGGCGGTTAGCACAAAGGATGAGGCTCGGTGGAGAGGCCCTGACCTTCAGTGGACTCAAATCTAAGGCAGAATGAGGTACAGAGGCTGTAACTGTATTTTAAAAACCTAAGAGCTTCAAGGTTCCAATTGCTACAGCAGAAATTGGTAGCTGGCCAAGTTCCAGATGAACCCTTCAGGGATCAGATACAAACATTCCTTCCCTGGTTTCACCTTTGTCTCCCAGCAGAGCTGGGAGGGCTGTCTGAGGGAAACCCTGTAAATCCCTCAGGGCATGGTGACCTCGGCTGCCCCTGCTCTGAGCCCAGGGGCCCACCACGGAAGGGTGCAGGGTCACTGCTTGCTGAAACCAATATTGACCTGAAGTCCGCTGAGATGTCCCGACAGAAGTCCCTTTACTCTACCTTAGCTCCCCCAAACACTGAAAGCATCCCTCAAAACCCAGAATTCGGGAAGGTTCATGCCACACCTTATGTCTATGTTCAGATCTCTGGAGGGAGGAGACCTGGTGATTTCCAGACCATATACTCCCTGCCAGTGAGGCCTCAACTGCACATCAGAGGCAGCCCAGGCATCATCTGAGAAGCTGGTATGATCAGCACGAAACCACTCACCTCGTCAAACTCTTCTCCAAACCCTACAGGTTTTGAAATAGCTGTTGAAATCTCTTCTGCAAGTTCCTGCTGGTCAGCAATGTCCTGCATTAACTCATCAACTTTATCGATGTCCCTTTAAATGAAACGAGCACTCTGTTAAGTCTATGTACAGAGGGTCTGTGAGGCAGAAAGAAGGATCTGCTGCCCAGTCTCAGCCCCACAATCACTCCCTCTGAGGAATTCCTTTTTTTTTTTTTGGCTGTGCTGAGTGGCATGTAGAATCTTAGTTCCCTGACCAGGTATCGAACCCAGGCTCCCTGCAGTGGAAGCACGGAGTCTTAACCATTGGCCCACCAGGGAAGTCTCGTGGAATTCCTTTTTTGTCTTTGTCTTCTTCCCCCTCTTTTAAACTAGAGAATGACAGAATCAAGAGGACAAAAGCATCCTTAGACGTCACCCAGTCTAACACTCTGAGGAAATAAAGCTGGCAAAGTTAGATGCTATCGTGAGAGTCTCTCATGCAAGCTGGTAAACTCATTAGATGAGACCGTGGGACTTGGGAACTCCTGAATCAATAGCTCTTCAAGTTCAAGGGCAACTCTGCACAGTGATAGGTAAAATCACAAATCCTACAACAGAACCACACAACGTGACCAGCGCTTCCCATCTACACAAATCCACTATGGCTCCTCTACAAGGCTCCAAAGGAAAAGCAAACAATGCAGATTATCTCCTATGCACTGTCACTAATGTCAACAAACTTACAATCAATCAATATCATATATACACGTGTATTTCCAAGCACAGTATTCACTAAGAGGTGCTGTGCTGTGGGGAACACGGACATGAAGGGGACACGCACCTCACTCAGGAAGCTCAGTCTGATGAACATCCCCTCAGACAGTAGCTCAGTTACCTGAAGGCTACTTTTCCTGTAATCCCACACTTCTAGGGCAGGGATCAGCAAGCTTTTCCCGTAAAGGTCAAATAGTAATAAATGTTTTAGAATCTCTGGGCCACACGATCTCTGTTGCAAAAATTCAAGCCTGCTGTGTGCCACAAAAGCAGCCACAGACGGTGTGTATTAAGGGACACAACTGTGTTTCAATAAAATTTTATTTACAGAAATTGGCAGCAGGGGACTTGCCTGGGGCCCACAGGCCAGATTCTGCCAACCCCTGTTTTAGAGCATGGCAGAGGACCCAAAAGGAAGCAAAAAGGCTCCCAGCACCCACAAATATATGATGCCAAGTTAGAGCATTAAAACAAATGCAGAATTCTGTTCTATTTGGGAGAAGTCCTCATTTGGGGCTTAATGTTAACCTGGCCTTTAATTACAAATACAACAGCTCAGTTATCTGGTGTCTTAGGCCACAGAATATGAGAAGTAGCCACATAAAGGAAGGAATGCAGAGGTCAAGAACACTTGTCAATACGAGAGCCAAAACCCAAGAGTGACGAGGAGGGAAAATCCCACCAAAAACAGACCCAGGAAGAGAAAGACCTAAAGCCCTCAAATGTACCACACCTTTCAGGGCCCCTGACAGCTTCAGGAGAGTCACGGGAACTGATTCTAATCCCAGTTCTATCCAAGTTCCCCCATAACCCAGGGCAAGTCACCTCCCCTCTCTGGGACAAACTTCCCCACCTAGATGATCAGAGGCCCGGGTAAGAGAATCTTCTAAGAAGACAAAGCTTTCCAGCTTAAAACGCTACATTCATTCCAATAACCCTGAATGACCCAGAAAACAGTTTCATTCCATGAGATCTGCTTCTGGGGGTAGTGGGGCACATAATCCATTTCAGAAGAGCTCCAGAAAAGATGCAAATCAGAACAAACTTGGGTGCTTGAATGGATAAATCAAGAGGCCTAGGACTGAGGCCTTGCACAGCCAGCACTGCCCTTCCGCGTGTGCGACCCCCTCCACCAGCGGGTGCCACGTACATGTTGTCGTGGGCAGCCTTCATGGCCTTGGCGGCATAGCCCATGTTCTTGAGCACCTCGGTGTTGGTGTTGGCATTCTCCAGGGCCTCTCGCTGGAACTCGATTGTTGACAGCGTGCCATCGATCTGCGCCAGCTGCTTTTCATACCTCTTCTTGCGCTTCAGGGCCTGAAGTGCTGCTGCATGGGGGGGAAGAAAACAGGGTTTCAGAGAGCCCGGACACAGGGCAGCATCCTAGAGTTCACTGAGTTGTCTTCCTAATTGGGATGGATGCACTTCAGTTTCTGCTTTCACTACAAGAGAGGGCTAATACTCTCTTCTCCACAAACAGCATATTCAATACTCAGAGAAAACTATACAAAATTCACATTCTTCAAAATGCAGCCAGGCACTAAGCCCAAGTTCACACTCTCTGGGAACCACACGCATAAATCAAAGCATGGTCGGCACCCCAAACAAGAGAGTGCTTTGAAGTCAGACTGCCTTAGGTTGAAACCCCAGCTCTCAGCCTCAATGAGCTGCTGAGCCTCCCTGAGAGGTTGATGTGAACGAGATAACATATATGCAAACACTTAGCACAACATTTAACATAGAGGACACTCCCAAAACCCCTCTCATTATTATAAAGCGGCTTTAAAGTATCATTCTATGTCAACTAAATTACAAAATAATAAATAATGACTATAGCAAATACTGGATCATTTAGGGTTAAAATGCCATCTCACACTCAGCCCACAACTGTAAACTGTTACAGTGCTTCTGGAAAGTGACACGGCAACACACAGCAACAGCCATAATGCTGCTCTGGCCCTCTAACCCAGTAATCTCCTTCTGGAAATGTATTCAACAAGAGCAAGGCCCTTGTGATTCAAGCAAAGGCTCCATGCCTGAAGATGGTAACTACAGCATTCTTTATCATAGAAAGGACTGAGCAACTGAAATAAAGACAGAATTCCCTGTCAGGGCCTCATCTAGAGTCTGACCACTGGGTCAAATCAATGCCATCACCTCTCTTGGCCTCCCAGCGTGTTAAGGCTGTAGTGATCACCTTGTTTTAAGATCCAGTCAGGGCGAGCACTCTGATCAAGGTGAACTGGTAGCAGAGCAAGGGCCAAACCACACCTCCCTACTCAGAGCCTAGGTTTTCCTCTCCTTACTATTTTAGCTTCCCTCTTTACACTGAAAAGTATCTTAGCTGAGCATAAAGCTCACGAAGGCTCTGCGCAGACTCAAGCAGAAGGAATGGTGGGGCCAGGGAAGCTGCCTGGCACCTGCCTGGGCCTGGACAGCACTAGCCTCACATATATATGCAGACACACACACACCCGTGCACTTGTGTCCACTGTGTCCCCAAGCTCTGCACCAGAGCCACCCCCTGCAGGCTGTTGGCCACGGCCAATCACCTCCTCAACAGGGCTGTGGTTTCTCCACATGTCATTTGAATTGGTCCTGTACTCCTTCCACTCAAGTGCGCTGTGAGCCTAGGACTGCCCCCTGAAAACCATCTGCCAAGGGAAAAGGGCCTTGGCTTACATGTAAGCAATCCTTAAGTCCACAGTTCCTCCAAAAGCAGCAGGCAAAACCGCCAGGAAAATTCCTCCAGCCAAAAGATACAGCAGGCTAAAGAAATGCTGCAAAAAATCCAAACATGAAACGTGCCTCATTAAAAGCTAAAAAGCCATTCCACTTGTTAGTTCTCTGATCCTGGTGTGAATGGTCAGACCGGCCTATGACGTCAAGAAATTCAACCTGCAGTCACATCTAGGCATCCCCAAGGCGTCCCCTTTACTGAACACCTGCACCTGCTGCTAGTATTAAGCCATGCCTGCCAAGTAATTACCTCACAACAGCAACCCTTTAAAGTAGAAATGACCACTCTTTATCAGCGGAGGAAACAGGTTCAGAGAGGTAATTCAGGTTACCAGTGGTAGTCGGCAGAGAGTAGATTAAGCCAGGTATGGAACTCCACAGTCACGGGCTGCCACGCTGACTGCTATGCCCCCCACTGAACAAACCACGCAGGACCTCGCCACGGAGGCACAGTCCAGGCTAGCAGGGAGTGTCAAGGGAACTGCAGGATCACAGAAGAGGGAACACTAACCCAACCATGTCATTCCTTTGCTTAAGAACCCTCAACCCTCCCTCTGCCTGCAGGACAAAGCCTCTGAGTGGTTTAACAAGGCTGGCAATGGATTTGGATTCTCGCCTTGAACCAGGGTCTGGAAGCCCCAGCCCCAAGTCCGGATCCCTTTGCCACTGACCATCGAGGCAAAGGGACGATACCCTGGAAGAGTCCTGTTGTACAAGTGCTCAGGGCCTGGCCTTGCTTCCCCCTGACTCCCTGGTGCTGAAACTGACTCAGACACACCCCAATCAACAAGTGAGTCTCAAACCTTCTCAGGCCAACGCCTCACACGTGCCCCCTTCCCAGGCCCTCCTCAGCTGCCCTCACCACCCAGGCATAACCCAGCCTAGAACTTGTTCATCAGCTGAAATTCAACAGGTGTTCTGAGCGCCTGCTGCGTAGTACCATCTGCCTCCTCATTTAATCCTCCTGCAAAGTCCTGGGGCACAGATCAGACAGATCAGAAAGGTGGAGTAGCTCAACGAGTCAGCCGGCTGGTATGAGAGGAGCAGGGGGCTCAACCACTGGCCTGTGTGAACCCCTGGGCCCCTGCTTCCCACACAGGCTCCGGATGATGGTAAGTGACACGGGGACAGTTCTTAAGAACAAACAGCGAGGTGACATCTGCCCTGCTTCTCAGTGTCCTGAGTACAGTAGGAGCCGTGATTTTACAGTCAGCTGTGTTCTGACTTTTAAAACCAAATTTATTCTTTCCCTGTTAACATCACAGCATATTTAGAACTGCTTTAACTTTTTCTCTAATACATTCTCAATTGGCAGGGACTCCTTGTAAGCCAGTCTTCCATTTCTCTGATCTGCACCCCACTGCTAAAATCCCCCAGGCAATAAATTATCTGGAAGCAAATACCCAAACATATCAGGGGGTAAGCCAGAGACCCCCATGAATGAAATAATGTTTGTATTATGCATCTTTACAAGCCATCATCCAGCACAATGCCTGGTACACAGTACCTTATTATATTAAACTGAATCTCCAATTTCATCTATTTTAAGTTTTTCATGTATTCTCCGCAGGGTTCCTCATGTGGGGTACACCCATATTTTATCTCCTGTGTACCTCTGATTCAACAGAGAAAAGATAACATCTCATTGAAACAGTGGCTAAAACAGTCATCTGGCAGGATTCTTTCCCTGCATTTGTCCTGACCCATGAAACAGGAACTTTGGCAAGTGCTTGCTCTTCCCCTCTGTCCTTGTCAAGAGGTGTGCCCTGAAAGGAGGAAAAGGTTCTGAGCTAGAAGGCTCTAGGGCTCCCCCTCCAACCTGCAGGGTTCACATGGTCTCTTTGCCTCTTTGCACAGAAATCTCCAGAATGGTTCCTGGCAGAGACAGTCCATTTGTTTACCCCAATCTAACTCCTGTTCTATTCTCAACTAGTTGAGAACCCTAAAAAGAAAGGGTATGTGATTAATTTTCCCCTCCATACATGGTTCACCAGTAGAGTAACCTTAAAATGAGACATGGGGCCAGCCTTTGGGCTGCAAGAATATGTGTAAACATAAATATTCACAGCACTTGACCCAGCCCTCCTTCACCATCTGCCCCATGTCTAAACGTGTGGCATGGTGGTGAAGTATAACTCACGGCAAAACAAATGAGTAATACGCCACTCTTCCTACACACCGTTCCACTTCAAGTAAACATCCTCCATTCCAAGCTTATTGCTGACCACAAAAATCTGCTTCTATATAGCCAAAGCCTAAAGGATCAGACTCAATGTTTTACATATGTTTTGCCTTACTTATACTTCTCCAAATTCCTGAGTTAAAAAAACAAGTACTGAGTTCTCATTACGACGTTTTAAAAAATGTAATCATGAGAGGTGATGCATGTCAACTAAGTGTATTTTGATAATTATTTCACAATATACATATATATTAAATCATTAGGTTGTGCACCTAAAAAATAACATAATGTTATATGTCAATTATATCTCAATAAAACTGGGGTAAAATGGGAAAAAAGATAAAAACAAGTATGGGGAGTTAACAAGGTTAACATCCAAACCAAATATTCAAAGAAGAGGTGTCCAAATAACCCACTTTTCTGCCAAAGAACCCCCACCCCGTGTCATTCATAAACACGATGCTTTAACAACTGAAATCTAACCCAGTCCAACAGAAGTTTAAAAAGCTGCTTTTAGCTGGAAAAAAATAGTCCTTGGAATCTCCATATTTAATTACGCCTTTGCTGGTTCCAAGAGAGTAATTACAGCAGCAATTACAGAATCTAATAACCAGCTTTATTGGCTCTGAAAGCTGAAGCAAAAACAACTCCAACCATGTTGAAATAAACATTGGTCTCCAGAGAGTTGCTTCATTAGACACTCTAAAGACAGCTATTTGAAGAAAAAATACAGAAGAGATACCCAAAGAAGCAGAGATCAATGGAAAAGACATTCACCCAGGACAAGAAACTCCTTCTGCAAGGTATCTGTTAGTGACTGGACAGAAACCATTTTCAAAGAACACATCAATCAGTTCAATACAACTACCAGGTGGGATGCTCCTTTCTCCTCGGCAAAGGCAGACATGACTTCTCATTGAAGAGTTGCTGAGGAAGGAAAATTTGCCTGCCCTGATCTGCAGGCATTCAGAATAGGGGCCTTTAGCCCAGGGTATCTCAACAGATGCTAAGATGTCCTAACTGTATACTAATGACTGAGATTAGTACACTGAGATTCAGGCACTGGGGAGAAGGAGGGTGCAGTGATATCTTCTCACTGAATGAATGGAGTCCTTTCAAAGACTCAAGATTCTACAACTGAATTCATGCAGCAGAAGGTCCAAGAGCTGGGAGAGGAGGAGAGGGCTGGTCCTTTCCCACTCTCAACATGAACTACATAGAAAACACAAACACAAAACACTTAGCCACACACGTAATGCTAAGTGCGAATTCTGAAGAACCCTCAGCAGCTCGGTCATGGCAGGGCTACTGGTGGGCAGGGAGCTGGTGATGCTGCAGAAGCCCTGCTTTGCCCACCTCCAGCAATTAGTCAGATGCTCGCTCCCTGCTCTTTCTGCCCACAAGTAA